ACTCCATTTCTTTCAAAGAAAGATAATTCCCTAATTTCTTTTGGATACAGTCTGTGGAGAGCTGCCCTCTCTAAAAACATTTCTTGTTCCAAGATAGGTATAGGCATTTGGGCTTAAGCCATTTTTCTTGCTGCTTTAAAAGAAAACATTCAAAGAATATGCCAAGAAAAACTAGCAATTACATAGAGCAATACTAGCAATAAAATAATGGAAATAGCAATTTTTCCCTAAGAAACTTTCAAAGGACAAGGAGTCAAAACATTGTAGTTATTGATGTTCTTGATAATATTTAGAGCAATATTTTCCATGAATAAAAGAGACCTAATATACCTGAAATTTTTACTATACTTTAGGCTTCGGAAGCAGATTATATAAAGTATACAAAGCCTAATAAAGCTCTTTTCTTCTTCAGGAGAGGTTTCCAGAAAAAATAAATTAATTAATAAAAAGTAAGTTGGGCACAGTGGCACACACCTATAATCCTAGCAACTCAGGAGGCTAAGGCAGAAGGATCACAATTTCAAGGTCAGCATCTGCAACTCAGAGAAGCTCCAAGTGACTTGTTGAGACCTGGTCTCAAAATAAAAAATAAAAAAAGGGCTGGAGATGTTGCTTAATGGTAAAGTACCCCTTGGTTCAATCCCCAGTATCAAATAAGATGGTCATTAAACCAACAAAAAAGAAAGTGTGTGTGTGTGTTCCTATGAGATGCATCATGGTGACACCTAAATGATATTTTTTCATGGCTAATACAAATATTGCAAATGATGTTCACGTGTCGCTGTCCCAGAACTGGATATATCACAACTTCATTACAATGTCCACAAAAGGTTCACTCAAATTTGCACTGGATAGGACACCGTTACTACATAGGTACCTAGGAAGAACATTTTACCCATGGAAAATGTAGCTATAGAAATACTTCCTACAAGCACTTGATTTATCAGCCAAGCCAATTTAGTGATACAAATACCTCTGGATATTCATCAACATACCCTTCAGATACAAACTAGAAAAAGAGGAAACTCAAACTGCAAATCAATATATTTAGTAGGAAAACCCTATCCTATTGGTGCCAGCTTTGAAACCTAACCCTCCTTCCACCACAGAACCAATAAGAATTTCTCTCCCAGAAATATGGAGAGTCATGTAACAGCATGTGTGTGTGGTAAAAATATCAGGGGCTATTGCTTTTGCCCTGGTACAACACCTGGGATCCTCCATGTTGCGTCAGTTTCCTAAAACAGCTGAACAGACATAAAGCAATCAACCTAGAAAATGAGAAATAGAAAAAGTAGACAGAAAGGCTATCAGCAAAAGGTTAGCATGGGTCAAGAGTAAATGCTTCACTCACAGACATCATTACTAATTACTTTATACCTCAACATATATCAACTCCAATGTGTAGCAACAGGGAATTAGGTAAGGGACCCAGGTGGCTCACTGAGAAATGGTTATATATAGTCACTTAGAGACAGAAGAGAGAATGGATCATCTGGTATCAATGAAAAGAACTTTTTTTTTTTTTTAAGAACACGGGTGCTTTGTTCTTACATACAAATCACAGACTGTATAAATCAAACAGAACATTGGCTAGTTAAGATGAGTAATTGGGGGAATACCTTTAATTTTGTTTTTATTTGAAAGGGAGTTTGTTTTTATTATGAGATCATACTCTTTCCAATTTTTATCTCTTTATTATAAAATATTCTTCTCATAACACAAGAAAAAGGGGAAAGTACATTTAAATGGGTCACTTTATCTGCAATGAAAAGAAAACTTTTTTTTTTTTTACATGTCTCTGTACTGTTAAAACTGACTAAAATCCTTTTATACAAGAACAAAGTTCACAGTTCAAGGGGAAATATGTTTTTTAAAAAAAGAGCCCCTAATGGATAAAAGAAATGGAAAATAGTATCTATACGTACTGTCTGAAAGAGTTGAAGTCAGTCACTTGGAGAAGTTGAGATGGAGGGGGTAGTGACTGGATAGTCACCAGCTGTTTGCTATCATCAAAGAGGGGGAAAAGGAGGAAATTAGCTTCATTAAAAGCCCAAAAGATTTCAACAGAGGGAAAAAATTCTTCGCTATACAGGTTATCAAAAACATAGAGGGACAGATATTAGAAGAGGAGGATTTCTATCCTGCTGGACATCTGCTATTGGAATAATGTCTAATTGAATTGACGGGTTTAAGAAAAACACTGGCCTGGGAGAGGACCCAGGCCTGAATGATCTTTTGAAATCTCTCATGCTTCTTGTGAACTGTGAAATCAGTGGGCTGGGATGAAAGGAGGGAAAATGAGAAAGAGTGGGCAGAGGAAGTTTTACATCCTGCCAACGGTCATTTCTGACTCTAGAGCTTGTTCTCTTTGTACTTTCTTCCATGTGTAACTAAAACAACATAATTTTCACATACTTAAGTTTCTTTAGGCCACCAATGTGGAGCAGGTGTCTCCATGAGCTGCTAACAAGATTCTGACTAAAATGCAGAGATGCTGAATGAAAGACAAACTAACTTAACCCAGGAAAGTAAGGGAGGCTGGTGTTGTAGACCCTGGAGGAATTTCGTTTACTCACAAGGTTCTTAGCAAGGGTTACCAGTTGCAAATTGATTCTATTTTCTCTTCTCCCTCCAAATCCACCAACACCTCCCAGCACACCCCACCCCAAACACACCATCCCATATAAAACCACACTAGGGCATTCACAGGTAGGTACGGAAAAAAAATCTCCACCAAAAAAAAGACCACGGGGAAAGAGACCCTAAGTAGGAGAGCAACCTCTAGAGGTATTCCGAACATTCCCTTCCTGACTCCTCTATCCCTGTGTCATTTTGCTTTCCTTTCCTGTTGTGTAAAAATGCTCCATAAACTCTCAGAGTAACAACTCCGTGGGGGTCAGAGCCCGGATGGTGCCCCCTCGCTTTGCCCGGGAAGCCCCTCATCTGTATGTAATTGATGTCTCAACAGAGATCCTAGCCACACACTTCAGGCCATCTTAAAGTACTTTTCACGTTTGATAAAAAGACCCCTCAAACTGCGGCCTCTGAGCCAATGAAAACAAAGAATGAGCTGAATAACGTTTCATGAAGTGAACAGAACTCTGCCAAGAATCACACAATCAGAAACCCACTTATAAAACTGGCCATAAAGAAGAATGAAAAAGGGCCATATAAAATTCTTGAAATGTTGGAATCATTATTTATCCTGGGATCTAAGGTCTAAAACATAGGATATGTGTTCTCCATTTTTTTCCCCTAAATGAAGACTTTTAAAACACTAATTCCCTTGCTTGAGTGCTGCTTCCTCCCTGAAAGCCATTAGGGTTAATAGCAAGCAGAACCTTTTTTGATCTCTGTGGATGAAAATTGTACATTCTCCGGTTTCCTCATTTAAAAAAATAAATAGGATGGTTATTGTTGATTTTAAACTTGAAGTATATGACCACCACAAAAAGGGAAACTCATTTTTGTTCTTGTTAATCTAAGTTAAAGGATAAAGATGATGAAGACTGTCTACTGATGATATCATTTCATATAGAATATGCATGGGTTCTCTGTAAACCAGCAGCACACTGTAAGTCAGCTTAATGTGTGAGGAAACTCAGGGTATACCGATGCATTATGCTCAGAAAAAAAAAAATATTCTGACACAAACACACCCACAAATCTCTGACTAAAACAGACCATAAAATTAATAATTTCTTTGGGTGACATGGATCTATACTTACATAAGCATAAATGGTCATGGGTTGTCAACACAGATACCTCAAGTGATTCACCTAAGTCACTCTTCAATCTCTAAGCTTGTAAAATTTGAACAGTTTACTTTCTCAAGTCTATACTTCCAATGCTTATTTGACAGACTGTTCAGAAGCCAAAGAAGCATACCCATAACCACAGTTCTGTGTCTCATAAATGCTACTACAATCAATAATATACCCCTTTTCCCACATTGTAAAAATTTTCAATGAATCTTTAAAAAAACATCTTGGCAAAGCATCTCCCCTTCACAAAGAATGTTTCTCTGGACGATGATTCCAAGAAGAAGACTAAAGCCCCTTAACTACGTAAGAACTTCAGTATTAATACCTAGCATCAAGCACTAAGGTTTCTCTCTCGTTATCTGTTTTTTTTTTGGGGGGGGTTGTTGTTGTTGTTTTTATATTTTAATACACTATATATACATTATATATATATATATATATATATTTTATTGGTTGTTCAAAACATTACAAAGCTCATGACATATTATCGTTATCTGTTTTTATAAAATACTTTCTTCTCCTTTGCTTCTCTGCCTGCCTCTCTAACGGAGCAGCAAATGTCAATTAATCTTCATTAATCTGAAATAACTCTATGGTAGCAGAAGGCTATTATTTACCTCAATACCCTCTACTCTTTCACCCAAAGGGACGTGGGGGAGAACACAGAAAAACAGCTGGTGGGACCCACCCTCACCCTCCCTCCCCTCTCCCCCTAACCCCCTCACACTCACATCCACACATGTACCCCACCTTCTTTATTTGATCAGACTTTCAACATGTATTTATACAGCTGTAAAAAGTATGGAAGGTCTATCCATTCTAACTTCTGGTCAAATATGTATCAGGGCAAGGAAATCTCCTAAAGCAGTTCTCTTTCCTGGAATGGGTTACTGATTCATAAGCAATCATGTGGTATCCTGTTCTTTCATTTTTATAAGCCAAGGGTTCCTCTTTGTCAAAGTCTCATGTTTATGATCAAAATAGATGTGGTCTAATGTTTGGCAAATTACATCAGCAACCACCAGGCAATGGGAGTCTGACCTTTGGTGTCACACATATCTGGGTTCGTGACATGAATGAGCCATTTAACCTCTTTAAGTCCACTGGTAATAAAATAACTAAAAGAAAGTAAAATAAAAGAGCCTAAAATATTACCTACTTCAGAGAAATGTTGCAAAGATTAAAAAGTATAAAAGTAAACAGTGTACAAAGGCTGGACATTGTAAACAATACTTTTTCAGCTTCTTGGTCTGAAAATGTATCATGAGGCTAGATTAATAGGCTACACCAGAAGTAGGTGACACAGAGATGAAGAAGAAATATGCTTGTCCTGCAAGAGGCAATTGTGGTTTGCAATAAGATACAAAAGTGGGCAAGCCAAGGAATGCTCAAGGAAATAAGTTATTTACTATTCTTTCAGTGATTTCCCATAGCAATTTCCCTAATGCAACTTCAAAGGAGAGGCCAGGAAATCTATCCAGGTCACATTAGTCAGATGTGTGCCTGTGTATGGATTATTCTGTGCAGTACCTATTCACATGTCAAATTAGGAGGTTTGCTTACTCCTTTTGGTCCAATTATTGGCTAAGTCTCAATCTATCTTCTACCCTTTCCCGATTCTTAACACCCTCCCCACTCCATCTCCTTTTAGGATTGATTCAGGATGAGCCACAAGCAAAAATCTTCTGCAACCTCCAAGTTTCTTCTGAACATCCCTTTACTTCTTGGTCTACCTGACTCTCTCCTATGGATACCACTTCCCTGGAAGACTCTCAGGTAGAAGGAAGTCTTTGTCTTTTTCCATACATCTTATATCACTGGGCCTGGAACATGGATAGGTGACATATGTTCTCCTGCCTATTCCTTCAGACCATTCTCCCTCCCTGTTCCTTAGATGCCTCCAGAAGTGTATCTCATTTCATCAGAGGGCATTACCAACTATTCCCCTTATCCACCAACTTATCCACCAACTCCTGGGTTACTCTCACTTATGTTACTCTCACTTATGTTATATATTAGAAGATTCTCTAATATATTAGGCTAGGACCACAATCAGTTTTTACAACATCTTTGTTCTAATAAGAAAAAGCAGGGCTGGGGTTGTGGCTCAACTGCAAAGCACTAGCCTAGCATGTGTGAGGCACTGGGTTCGATTCTCAGCACCACATATCAATAAATAAAATAAAGGTTCAATGACAACTATACAAAAATTTAAAAAAAAAAAAAAAAAAGAAGGACAAGGAAACCTTTCCTCCAGGTAGACCTGCCCAATCCCATGATGCTAAGTTGAGCAAATGGAGAGGTGCTTAACTCCAGCCACTGATGGTCCCATCATCTAGAGTGAATACTATGCCTAACCATTCATGACACCATTAAACCTAGCCCTTTTCTTTTCTCTCATCTCAGACACATAATGTTACCCTAAACTCAGTGTCATGAGCTACACTCTCACATGCTTTTCTCATTTTCTCTATCATACCAAATCAACAATCCTTCCACCTCACTGAGACTTCCACTTCCACACCATCCCTCAATTAATTGTGTCTTCACTTAGCTCCACATCCAACTTAAATTCTATGGACATTCACCTTAACTTCTCCAGTTCATACACCCTCAAATCTTTTATTCCTCGATTGTTTCATTTGGCACCCTCAATTCTTTTATTCCTCGATTGCTTCTCGTCAAATCTAGCTGGTGTACTTGTCTGTACTTGTACAGTGATCCTGAACAGAACAGGGGGACTGGTGCCATATTAAATGCAAGATTAATTACCTTAATGAATGCCCTTAATGCAACAAGATTGTCTTAGACAAATATTTTACATCTTCTCATTACATGTACAAAACCACTTCTATTCTCAACCTCAGCTAATGAACTTATTTCCCTTTTCTTAGAGAAAAATGAGGCAATAAGAAGGAAAATTCCATAAGCTTCTTCCACAAGTACTCACCAACATTCACTTCTAGTGAAATAAGCTGACTCTTCCTATTGCTCCTTTCCTGACCTCAGTCATCTCATCAAGCACAGAGGAAACAGCACCTTTTGCATGTCATCAATTTCTCCTCCTCAATTGGAATTTCTTATTAATAAGCAATTATTCTAATATTTATTTTCTATAAGAAAAAAAGAAAAAAACACTTCTCTCTGGATTCTACTTTCCTTTTTTTCCTCACATTCTCTTGAACCACATTCAGGGTTTCTTAACATTCCACAGAAGTTGTCAACGTCAAGTTCACCAATACCCTCATGTTCTGATTTGGTTATAAAGTTCCTGTGAATGCAGCAATATTCAGAGGAAAAAATGGATACTGAGCTGTAACCTAATCAGCCTACCCTAGTTTGAACTGATGGGCTGGGTGGTAACTGTGGGTAGGTTGGATGCTGCAGGGGGTGGTGGAACCCTGAGGTGTGCCCCAAAGGTGCAACTTCCCTGTGGCTCCATCCCCCACACCTTCTTTTTCTTCCTGACCTTGCCATGAGCTAAGCAGCTCCACTGAGCCCTCCCCAGGATGTGCTGCCACATCTTGGGCCCAGAGCAATAAAGCCAGCTGTCTATGGACACTGAGCCCTCCAAAACTGTGAGCCCCAAATAAACTTTTCTTCCTATAAACTGTTCTTGTCCGGTATTTTGGTAACAGCGATGAAAAGCGAACCAAAACATCTCATAAAACTAAATCCAGTAAAAAATTTTTAATCTTCAGCATAACATATCAAAATGCCTGTCATAGTTGAATCATTTTCCTCCCAGAAACACTTATCTTCACTTGGTTTCCAGGACAGAAAACCTGTTCTCCTGTCCATTTACCCATATCTCATTTGCCGTTTCCTACAATTTCTCCGAACTCTTGAAATTCAAGAGTCCCTCAGCTCAGTCTTTGAGTCTCTTCTCTTTGCCATGCACTTTCAATTCCATGGTGTTCTCATTCCATTTCATGCTACAAATACCGTGTATAAACTGACTGCTTTCAATTGTGTATCTCCAGCAAGGTCTTCTGCTGGAGTTTCAGATAGGTAAGTCAGTCACACAGCATAACTACCTGCATGGTGAACTGGAATTTTATAATCAATGTCCAGCATGAGCTCATCAATATCCATCCTGTCCAAAACTACTACTCTTACAAATTCTTCCATCTAAGCTAAAGGTAACACTATTCTTCTCTTTGCTCACACTCAAACTTTGGAGTTAGTTATCCCCAACTCCTTTGTCTCCTATATACACATTTATCTGCCGGCAGTTCCTGTTGGACTTACCTTCAAATACATCCAGAATCCCATCGCTTTTCATCATACCTACTGATACTCCTTTCATTCAAATCAGTTATCATCTGTCCTCCAGACTAAGGCAATAAGTTTTCTACCTCATCTCCATGTTTTCGTCCTTGTTTTCATCTTTTTATTATACTTAGTGATCCTGATAAAATATGAAATTGTCTTTGTGGCTCAAACCTACAATGGCTTAATCGCTCTCTCAAAACAAAAGCCACTGGGACGGGGTTGTGGCTCAGTGGTAGAGCACTTGCCTAGCACATGTGAAGCACTGGGTTCAATCCCCAGCATAAAAATAAATAAAAACAAAGGTATTGGCTGGTGACATAGCTCAGTTGGTAGAGTGCTTGCTTCACATGCACAAGGCCCTGGGTTCAAACCCCAGCAACACAAAAACAACAACAACAACAACAAAAAAAAAAAAACCAACAAAGGTATTAAAAATGACACCATGTTTAAAAAAAAAAAAAAAAAGCCACTCCCAAGATACTCTATAACTTAGCCCCTACAACTTCTCTTGCTTTGTTTCTTACCACACTCTCCCTTATTCAATCTGGCCTCCCAACTATATCGACCTCTGTTTCTGGAACATTCTAGGCATTTTCTTGCCTCGAGGTCTTTGTGATTGCTGTTCCCTCTACACAGAACTCTCGACCCTTGAAGACCTTTTCCCTCACTCCACTCAGGATTTTTTTTTAAACACACTCTTCTCCCTATTCTTATGCCTTTATGTATTTTTCCCAGTTCTTACCAGTGAAAGAGGTACAAATTTTACAGATTTACTTTGCTCACTGTCTATCTCCCAAAGAACTTAAGCGCCACGAGAGATCTGTTTTTGTTATTTACTGCTGGAACTGCAATGCCAAGAGCAGAACTTGGCACCCAGAAGCTCAATGTACATTTTCACTCACACAGGCAAGTGGTACAGCAAGGGGAATGACCTCAGTCAGATTCTCTTCATTCTATTGAAGGGATGCTCGTTTGCCAGCCCTTCTAGAATGCCAGAAACTGTGCGTCTCTGCTTGTCCTCTGCCTAACCTTAAGGAACTTCCAAACTTCAATGTACAACAACAATGGGGGGGTCGTTCTCAAAAGGGGTAGGAACAGGGATATCAAGACGAGGGAAAATTTGGTAAACAATCTATAAAACAATCTGCTTCCGTTGGACTAAGACAAGAATCTGCATTTCCTATGCTCAATTCACAACCTCTGCTGCAGACCAGACACAAATGAAGTCACATCAGTCTTATAGGGACCATCAGTTTAAAGTAAAGGGAAGGAATTTCAGTCCACCCAGAGAGCATACAAAGGGACTCCTATAGCCATTAACAAAATGTATGGGTTGAGGTTATTACTGAAATATGATATGTCTGCAAGGATTATTTTAAGGTTTGTTTAAAGATGATTTACCGATTCCGATGAGTCCACCGACAAGAGACTTTAACTACACACTCTTCCTCCCAAACCATGATCAGGGACCATTTTTTTTTTTTAATTTTTTTATAGTTGTAGATGGACATCATGTCTTTATTTATTTATTTTTATGTGGTGCTGAGGATCCAACCCAGTACCTCACACATGCTAAGCAAGCGCTCTGCCACTGAGCTACAGCCTCAGCCCAACAGGGACCATTTTTTTGAGACCAGTGGATAGAGTGGAAGAGAGTACAGCAGCTTCTGCAATACAGAATTACATGCAACAACAAATCACAACAGATTTTCAGAGAGATGAGAGTGAAATAACAGAGTTCACAGGTGGAAAAGATCCTCTTAGAATTCGGGAAGGATCTCTCATTTTTCAAAAGTGTTTAAGGAATAAATATCTTATTAGAGCCTTGTTTCTCTGTAAGGAATGGTAACATCAGGTCTAATTTACAAAGGGCAACACAAGGAACAAAGCTCTTATAAAACAACTAATTGTGATTACAGGAAAAGTCAGCACATTTAGTCATAAGCACTGCACTCTTAATCCAAACCATAAGATACCTCTAGCACCATCTTAGTTTACATGAGAAATATACTGACAATACTTCAGAAATTATTCAGGGAAATACAAAAACATACACGCAAAAAAGTGAAGAACCAGGCTGGGGTTGTGGCTCAGTGGTAGAGCACTTACCTAGCAAGTGTGAGACACTGGGTTCGATTCTCAGCACCACATAAAAATAAATAAAGATATTGTGTCTGTCCGTCCGTCCATCCATCTATCTATCTATCTATCTATCTATCTATCTATCTACCTACCTACCTACCTACCTACCTATATGCAAATAAATGTATACTTTTCTTAAGTGCTAACTTTTTTAAATAAAAAATGACTGATGATAAACCCTGGTAAGGGATAAAATCTTACAAGAAATTGTATAATGGTGGGGAATTCAAGTAGTAAAATCATTGGAATTAATTTAAGAGAACCAGGGATGATATTTGAAGCTCCTGGTACTCACCTCCGTTTTCTTCTCCGTTGGCATTTGCCTCAGCCATCTCTGTGCCATCCAGCTCAGAGTCACAGACTAAATCCAGTGTTCCATCTGCTGGGCATGATGACTCCTCTTTCTATATTATTTTTTTTAATGATGATAAATAGAGATATGTTAGCAACTAAAAATATTTTAAATACTTTCGGCATCTTAAAGGATTTTCACAGTTTTATGATATTTGGAGTTTCAATACAGATTTACTTTTTCATGTAAAAGTCACTCCTTTGGGGAGAGGTCAAGAGGAAAAGCCCATTACCACTCCAGATATTACTGTCTAGCCTTTTAAATCTACATCAAAAAAAAAAAAAGGAAGTCTCCTTAAAAGGAGTTGTTTCCAATTTGTTTTCAATTATATGTTCTTCCTGATGCAAACAAATGGATTAACAATTCTGCATGTTCATCAGTGAATTGAACATCCAAGTAGCCCCAAAAAGCAAAGGGGGGAAAAAAGTCATTTTGAAAATAGCCTCCGCTATTTTCAGAAACATTCACTATAGCTGAGAGAGAATCCTTACTTTCTTTGCCAGGTATAACTTTTTTTTAATTATTTTTTGTTTTAATTAGTTATATATATGACAGTAGAATGCATTTATTATGCACTTTGAGATATCATACATAGATGGGATGTAACTTTTGACATTAAAAATAAATCTTCTCAAAGGAAATAAATAAACTTGAAATATAATCCATCATTTATCTTTAACATCCTAAAGGATTTTCATAATAAACAGTAATTATTTTTAAATAAACAGTAATTTATTTTTAATCTATAAAAATAATATTCTGAGTTTACTTGTTCTGTGTTATACAATCCTTTGTAGAACATAAGCGTTGATCATCTGGAATTCTGAGTTTTAGATGGCATTTCCCATTCTATATGGAAATAGAAATGCTATTAAAAAATTCAGAATTAACTATTTTAAACTTCTTCTATTTTATTCCTTCCTTGAGGTCACTGCTTATTTTCAAATTGAATGCCCAATTAAAATCAGTAAGTTTTCAAGAAGAAGGAATAAATTGATTATTTTTACAAAAGTCAGGAAAGATTACAGGTGTAAAGACCTATCAGCTGATGGTCATTAAGTCAAAGAGTTTCTGGCAACTGTGATTGTCTTAAACTCCTCACTGATGACTCATGATACTCCTCCCTATAAATTTTGAAAAATCAA